AGTATAAGTGGTAAAAATGGTCTAAAATATGATTAATAAAGGGAGAAGACGCAAACCTGTAGATAATTCTAGCCAAGATATTGATACAGTTGGCGAGAATGAAGCCCACGGACCCACAAAGCGAGACCAAGAGCCAAGCGGCACCCAAAAATATGACGGAGAATGTCGTCAGCCGGAAATTGTGTCGGCTTACATCACCCTACAAAAGGAGCAACAAGAAAGACATTCGGCACATAGGGGTGCATGATAGAATTACCTCTACGTGATGCACTTTGGGTAACGTATACTCATACGGACAGTCTATTAACCGGCAGTTGACTTCTGGCTACAAATTACCATGACCCCACTGTATGTAATACTCGACCACCTTCACAGTACTCACCTTACCTTTTTCTCTGCCTCTGTCCTTGTCTGTCTCTTTTACATCTGTGGATCACTCTTCTATTCCTTCTCTCGAATATTTATGACTTTGATGTCCCTCCTCTCTAAGAAGCCCGAAGTAAAATAAAGGGTTAATGATGACTATCAAAACGCCTAGCATTTGAAATAAATAGATATTTCGACTATTACGCCAACAGTACTCTGATCTTGGTTATAGTGCATGGCTTACTTATAGTCATCAGGGAGGCGATAAGAAAGGTTACCATAAGTTCATTCGGACACAGTTTAAGCTAAATCCCAATAATATTTTGTAAATTCTTTTTAAGAGGTAATATCCTTGTGATTTTCTGATGAGGGACTCTTTTGACTGATCAAGCCATTCACAGAATGAACACCCCAGACTCTCATGCCACCGATCCAGAATAAGATAACAGAGTCCACTTTAACAACAGTGCTTAAACACTTACAGTTGTCATAGCCGCGTTAAGAAAAGCCTCAGTAGGTCCATTCCAGGCAAGGAGAACAAGATACAGAGCGTAAATTCGAAGGAGATTGACCACCTCAGGATTATCGGTGACAAGTCGCAACCCACCATAGAGGTAGAGCAGGAGATAGGAGTACGCTTGTGCGAAAACACATCCAACCCAACCAATAAGAGTGAGCAAACGGAGGCTTGTGCTCAGCATCTTCATGGCCTCCTGAAGATATCGCTTAAAGAATACAATATAATAGTCAAGGAGAGAGAAGAAAAATAATTGGAATTCTCCAGTGTAGCACTATCCTCTCTCTCTCTCTCTCACCTCACTCTGTGATTTTGGAGGGACATCGCGTTGGATACATTGAGAGAAAAGTAGATGACAACTCTCTTCTATAGGACTGAAAACAAGTCTTGGAGCCAATGATCCCAAATTGTTCACAAGATCGTAAATGCCTAGAATGAAAAGGTGTTTACTGATTAATTCTATCCATCGTTAATAAAAGTCTACTTTTCACCAAATTGAGTTCAACTTCGCATGCTCGATGCCATGAAGTATATTATGCCACGAAGTATACTTTTGGGTGCAGAGTGAAACAACTTGTAGAAAGGAAAAATTGTGTGATATTTTTTTACTTAAAAAGATCCTGAAAATCGTAGATAGAAAACGTCTTTACAGTGTGAAAAATGAGGAATTTGAAGTGTTTTAAAGTGAGCTTATTATATGATCAGGCGCTCAAGACCTATCAAGACAGCGCCAGTAAATGGAAATAAACACGAAGCAGCAGGAACTCGATAAGTCAAGTTAATTTTAGAATTACAATGGCGAAATTTAAACGAAAACTGCCTAATAACTGTGCCATACGTCATTTCAATAACTGGGTCTGAGCCCAATAATCTAAACTAAACTAGTAGTTACGCTGAAGTTCAACAATTCTCTATTGTTTAAAACAATTAAAAATTCAACTAGATGAAACAAAATTAAAATCGATTGCAAGATAAGTGAAAAACAAAAAAATAAGAAGAGGACAGACGAAAAATATTTAAAACCAATGCCTACCTTGGTCAGCAAAACTGAGCAGATGGAAAGCACTAATGAGATAGCGTTCTCCTAATTGCAAAGGGAAAAAGTAACTTTAACTTTAAAAGGGAAATAAAAATACTATGAAAAATAATTGTACGCACCCTCAGTAAGAAATTGCTTCAAAAGACCTTGGCGAAAGAAATTCCAAGAGAGAACAAGACAGGACCAATCAAGTGAACCCTAAAAGACTATTTAAATCAATTGCATGTTATCTACTTGAAAAGACGGTAGCAGGTCTTGTATGTTTTTGGGAGCAATTTTGGCAAATGGAAGATCTTTATCGAGGGACGAAGTTCTCGTTAACCAAGTTGAAAAGAGGATGTAACCTAAGACAAGTGTTAATCCATGTAAAAGCTGAGAAAAAAAGCGTAATTGATCTGATCAATCTGTATAGATTATTTAGTTAAAAACAAAACGAAAAAGAGCAACCAACCTGTGGACAAGCTAAAAGGTAAAGTCCATGGGTGGAACCATCGCCAAACCACAGCGCAAATATGATTCCAGTTGCTCGAGCGATGTTTGCGATTGCCTCAAGCACAATTCGAACACGGACAAACATTCCAAGTTGACAAACAAGCCATAGTGGTTCAGTTGACAATTCCAAAAAAGCAGAGAGTGTATAGAGCACACATGAAACCTTATATTGATATTCAAGATCATAATTTAGATTATCCGAAGTGGGTGAAGACAGAACGAATAGCCAAATCGGAAGGAGACCAAATGACAATAGAACCCCAACTGGGACACTAAACATTACAACAATTAAATATGAAATGTAACCTACGGAAGCCACATCACGTTCAGAAGTGCTCGCCATTTTAAGCGAATATCTGTGGCCGAAGGTTGGAGGAGAATTTCACCACCTCGACTTAAACAGGCACGACGAAAAGACTCCCGAGCTGTGAAAACTAGGGTAGAGTAATAAAGGCCGATGCGAAAATTTATTAAACCAAGAATAATGGCATCAACATGGCGATATGCCAGAGCGTTTGTTACGAAAGTAATAACTCTAAGAAGAATTTGGAGAATTAAAGTGTATCCTGCTAAACTGAAGCTTTGGCTCATTAAATCCTTCCCATGAGATTTTGAGCTACAATAAAAAAGGGTTTAATATTTTATATTTCGATTTAATAATAACGTATAAATAATGAGTACTTATCCGTGGGTGAGTCACCCTTTGCCATTTTCACAAGACAAATTATAACTACGTTATTTTAACTGTTAAACAGATCGAAGACTATGAAGAATAATGATAGACCAACGAACAATGAAAGAATAATCAAACTATCATGAGCATTGCACAAGGCAAATTAGTTGAAGGTTAAGGTCGCGAAATTTACTTCACGTTAAGGGAAATTCAGCTAGGTTTAACGCCTAGATTTAACATAATTTAATTTTAATTTTCAAATTCGCCAATGTACCAATACAATTTTATAAATAATTTTAAACTACGTGATTGATAAAACTGTACAAGTTTTAATTTAATTCTTGATTGGAATATACATGATTGATTGTTGTACATTCTACTCATGAGACCTCTACCACCAAACCATTAAGTTCATTATTGATTTTAATTGGTCTTGAACCTTGAATATTTAAATGATGAGTTGGGCTTATGATTCCATTAATACTAGACAATCATGTTTTCTCCTTTTAAGTTGATGCGCTTTCACTAATGCTATGCCTACTTAAGTTTTGCTAAATTTATTGAGTTCATGACATTTATTTATCTCAAATGACAGGCGTTTTGATAGCTATCATTAGCCATTTAACTGACTTCGGGCTTCACAGAGGGAAGGTTCATCAAAGAAGTAGAAAGTCGATGGGTGGGGAATAGAAGAGCGATTCACAGATGTAAAAGGGGCAGACAGACATAAAGGTGGGGAAAAAGGTAAGATGAGTACTGTGGAGGGGTCGAATATGACAAGCATTTGGGCCATGGTATTGTGAAGTCAGAAGTCAAATGCCGGTTAATAGACTTTTTTGCCGTATGAGTATACGTTGCCCAGGGTGCACCACGTGGAGGTAAATCTATCGCACACCCCGAGTTTATGACATCGTAGACTCTTGAATATGGACTTTGTAAGGAACAACTTCTGATGCTAGAAACGGGGGTATAAAATGTGCGTTTCTCCACAATAACCAACCTTTAATACAGTGCCGATATTGTTGTTGTGTAATTAAAATAAATAATATTATTATTGCCCAAAAAATTAATAAGGGTTCATATTTCGTAAAAAATTGTGTTAATTCCTCAAGGTCAACATGTTAACTATAGCTTACTGTTATCACCCGCTTGTATGGAATCTTCCCTTGGGTTTTGTTTTTCAGTATTTATTACTTTTTAGTCAGATAATATTTAATTTAGCTATCTTTCTAGTACTTTGGAATTCTGTTTAATTATTTGAAGCTTATTGTCACTCAGAATTCAATCTAAGATTAAGTTGGCATACATTTTGGCCGATATAGATGTTTTTTGTCATCAGCACTCCCGAAACTCAAATTTCATTATATTTAGTGTGTTTAGGAATCATTATGGCCGTGCAAATATCTGCAGTTTGCTATGGCTTTTTGAATTCGTACGCCTATGGTCCACCCCAATATAAGGTTCGTTTATTTCTCATTCATTGAAAATTTTAGGAAGGACTTTTGCTAGGAAAACATGATGAATCTGGCCTTGTTGATTGTATGTACTCATTTATTTATAGTTATCCACTTAATAGATATCTTGGCATCAATGCCTTTTCCACTTCGTTCATCAAAAAATCCTCCGAGTATCCCAGGTCAAGAAATCCTTGGCATTTATCGATGTGTTCCAGAGCGCGAACCCTTTGAGTTCAGTCTTAATGATTTACTCAGTATCCCAAGGAATTGCAAATATTTTTGCCTCGCCGAATATCAAGACTCCCAGATATCTTTGAAACTCTTTCGAGTCAATCCTTCCCGACAGATACCTTCGACCTCTCCTATTGAATATTTTATTTTTCCAAGCCTTCCAGAATCAGATGATGCCAAAGAACCCCATCCACAAACTGGATTCCCAAAGGATTCTTCCATTTCCGGTCGTTTAGATTCAATAGGTGTAAGTTATTTCCGTCCACTTGCCCGACGTTTTAGGAACTGCCGACTTATTTTTTTGACTTACTGCCTTCTATTTCCGCTGGATTCTCGTATCACGTCACCATTTAATTTTTTTCTAGCACCAAAACTCTCGGCTACGTCAAGTAATGACGAAACTGCTCACTGAATTTTCAAAGTAAATGGCTTAATTTTTTCAATCCTAATAAATCTTCTACTGAATCTAAGTTGTTGTTTTTACTGGTGCTGTATGATTCAGTCCAAAATGGTCTAGCATGATAGATAGGCCCATGCGGTTGTTGCGAATTATACGTTTTCTTAGAGGCGCGAAATTAGATTTTGCGCGTTGCCTGTTTATGTGTTCAGGGTTTTTGATTTTCGTTAACAGACAAATAGCTTTAGAAAGTTAGAGTTAACTCCCGAATACTGCATATGTTGTGCCGAGCAATTGGACTTCCTACCGACCATTTGTAAAGAATTCGATAATGAATAGAACTGGAGTAAAGATACTAAATCAGCTTGATTAGACTAGTTTGCGCAGAGTTAGTGTTCATTCAAGGCTAATTTGTGAGGCATTCCACCACAAACCAAATCTGCCGAACCCTTTCCTAATTAGGGTAATTAAAATGAAAATCAAGAAAGCATAAAACTCACGAAATCGGAGGTTAACCTAAGTGCATTTTAATGCCGAAATCTGTATTGATCCTGAAGAAACATTGAAAGGTCAACTGGTACTCACCTTAACCATGGAAACGAATGTGTTCCATCCTAATAAGTCTCACTGGTCATTCAAATAAGGGAATTTCGGTCGTTGTCCCATTCTACCCTGTGGAGCGCACAAAGATGTCGCTGAACAAAGGAATCTCAGCGCACTCAGAGAGGCTCTAACGTGCGACCGTGCTCCTTCGCGTAGGGAGTAAGTGCGACCGTGAGCGCGTAGACCATCCAGCCAATCGTCAATCAATATCCCTGGCTTGGTTTAGCAAACCCTCCATTGTATTACAATGACTAAGCGCCCTATCTGTAACACACAACCCGAACAAACGCATTTCACGTCATACGTCTGTTCCCTCTATAGCTTTGCGTCAGCTTAGCTAGTCCTGTGAGTTTTTAAGAACTGAGATCTTGCCATAGAGATTACTTAGTATAATTTGAGGCAGCATCTCACTGCAACACTTCCGATACGAGATTGGGAATGGTAACGGAGACTACGAGACCACTGCGGCTAGAGGAAAGCAACATAATAGATGATCTGATTGCTCTCGTACAGCAGATTTCCACCACACACGCAAGTGTTGCAAGATTCAAATTCTTACAGTAAATCGTCTTAAAACATCTGGCAAAGGCGATAAGACTAATGAGCAATTTAAAACATTCTGCTTTAGCACAAACAATCTGGTTCTTTTCCGCTGTGGGAGGTTTTTATTATGAAAAAAAGCTCAACACCGAGTAAGAGATGGTTTGTTTTACAAAAAATAGACCAAAGAACACTCCTCAACTTAATTTGTCCGAGCTATCATTGTTTTCGAAAGTGTGGCCTCCTTCTAGAATAATGGCATTCTTCATTCCCCATTTTTTTAAGCAAGGGCTCAGTTTGAACTTCAATTTCTATATGCCCTTGATATGTAATTAGAGCACCCAATAAAAGCCAATATGTAGACAGCATCAGGATTCTGCCCCCCGATAAGCACATCAGAAAAAAATTCATAATTGAATATCTCCCATTCTTCTACGTTTACACCATTCCCAATGCCTGCTTAGTCTCCAAACACCCTTCCCCCAAATCTTAACCGGATTAACCATTATGGTTTGGACTGGGCTGTGTGGAGGAAAATCCCAACTACCAGGGCAGTACCGCAGTTACCCAATGAAGAGACCGAATAGAATCATCTTTTTGAGTCTTTTAATAGGGAAAGTGAAAGATCAGTTTGCTCCAGATGCCGAGGCTGAGGTCTTGGAGGAGATGAATTTAGGCTGTATTAGTCGCCAATGGAGGATATTTAGAGCAAACTATTCGACAATGGAAACATTTCCCCGTCTATGGAACTTATTGCAAATTTTTTTAATCTTATAGTAAGCCAGACTTATTTTCTTTCTTGTCAAAATTAGCCCCAACGCTCTAGAGAAATGATTGATGAGCGCTTTGGGGAGACAAAGCATTTACGTCATAACATGGGGCCTAAGTTAATCGCATAGCTTTCGCTCGAGGTGACTGGAGATGTAAACATTTTATCAAGATAGCTTCTTCTCATCTTTACTACTCTTTATTTTCCTAGATCTTACCCTTATGCTTCGGACATCTTTGAAATTATATGCCCCCCCCCCCCATATTTAATGTCTACTTGGTGCCTTTTGAAATAGAGCTTTATAGACAACGCTTCCAACACATGTATTTGCCATTACCATACAAGTAAAAATGAGGAAAATATTTTTCGCAATTAATCCTCTTCACACTCTCCATTTGCAGAATTTCTCAGCGGTACCTTGCTATCTTTACTTTAAAGTTGGGTGTTTACCATTGCTGTTGCTAAAAGCACAATGAAAAATAAAATAATTTCACTAACTATGAAGTTTATTGTAAAGTTGGAACTTCAAATGAAAAATAAACATGGTTTTTACAATATACTATAACCTGATTGATAGACGGCTAAGCATTACCTCACTTAGTGAGAAAATTTCGCTTGGAGGTAGCATGTTACGCATTTGTGGGTGCTAATAACGCTGCACCAATTAGATAAAGTCACAAGGTTCGAATTTTGAGCAGATATAGCAATTATTACCTTGACTATGCACTGAAATATTTTATATAATTAACATATTCGTGTTTTACGAATCTGATGACTTCAAAGGAGTTGCATCGAGATCTGAACTCCTTATTCTTCAGCAAAAAATCAGAAAAGGTTCTAACCTGCACTCTGGATTGGAAAATTACATTCTTAAATCAAAGGACTGACACATTACTTTGCTATCTTAATGACAGAACTGAAAATACCATTTGTGTTTTTTCGAAATCTTAGCTAGCCTTAACAAAACCAATGTTTTGTGAACTGATTGTGTGGCTAAATGTCACTTCCATCGCCATCCCAAAAAACGTATCTATTAAATAGATTCGATTACGTTTAAAACATTTCTGATAATTTATTTATGAATCTGGTTAACTTAACAAATCCTCAATCCAACCTTAATAACCGTAAATAGGTTATGGAAGAGATAAGCTAACTCTGTTTATCAAAAACCCAATTTTTAACGACGATTGAAGACCCAACGAGACTTAACGAGCTAACAAAGCATTGTGCTTATGACAACGCAGAAACTTAATTTTTGAAAGTACTTGAGGGTTTGGTAGCACATTGTTTTTCGCTTTTTTTCAATTAATGTGAAAGCAGAGTGTGCGTAAAAAAGTGAATTCGAGGGGTGGAAACGAGGTCTAAATAAAGACTTTTCATGAATATCTTTAGGGCAAGACAAGAACGAATGAAGAGGCTTAAAGATTCATGTGAATTTTAAAAAATAAATCTACTCCAGTCATAAATAGCATGAGATCATAAAGTCGAGTATACAGGAATTCAAGTGTAATATTGATTCCGTACGTATTGCCAAGTGAGTCCATTTTGACTGGTGAGGTTATAAGCGTTATCTAATTTGAATTTCATGATAAGAGCGTGCCCGGTGGCTTACAAGTTAGGTGAATTTATACCAGCGAAAGTAATTGAGAATAAGCGTCGCGAAATAGGTGATTAGGGAGAGCTAATACAAGCTGTTTGGAATTCCTCTTATTTTAGATGGAATTGGTCAGTGCGCCTAGCCATCCCCCTTGATGGATACCCACCGGCGACATGCACTCGCGCCACTAAGCTAAGGGAACAAAAGCTGCACCATTCCTTTACAATGTCTTAGCTTTGAATACTTCCAAAATGCGGTTATTGGTCTGTTTTTTCAATTTAACAAGCTCCCCCATATTGAACCTCATTCAGTTCCTTTCGAAACGTATTCTTTGAATAGTATTGCCTTCTGTTCACTTGGTCGGATTTGCACCCCTTATTTCAATCTTATTTATAACTCATTCCGTAGATGGCTCCTCTCCTAAGTGGAATGATTTAATTTACACATCCATCTTTTCTACCATCATTTACTTATCGTGCGAAAATCAGATTTCATTTCGGTAAGTAATTTGTTGCGTATAACTGACTTGCCGTTATTAGTAAAGGCAACACCGAGATATGGCGTTTCTACCACACTAAATACACTTAAAAGATCAAAGATCTGCGGAAATCGATATTACCAAACGCCACATCTCATGACTGCAGATAAAAACAGTAGCAGCTTTAACAGGTTTAGATAGTAAAGGTGACGTTGATGTCAAGTAAATTATCTTGCACACCATATATTAGCAAAAGTGAGCTATCGATTTTTCGATACACCTACATCCAAACTAAGCCAAACTACCTGACAAACAACACTCACGACATTAACTTTCAATGCGCTTATTTCAGAAAACAAGTACTTAGGAAATACCCTAACCTGGGATTTTTGTCAGAAATCCATAAATTCACATTGAATTGGCCTTATTGAACTCCACTGTATTTAAAACGCCCTGGTCTGCACCCTCAAGTCACTCGTGACTGAATGAAAGACCAAATGAATCAATGTGACAGGTACGATCAGTCTATAGGATCTAAAGCTCTGAATATCGCGGCCTAGAACGTTTTGTTAATACCACAAAGTAAAAAATGGTAGTAACGCTTTCGGGCATCAATAACTTTCTTGAAGTGCCATTCTAAACTGCAATAAAACACGAAATCCAACTCAGCTTTTACTTGTAAACTTTATTAAGTAATAGATTCGTACATCACCGGAATCTAGAAAGCTTAAAAATGGTGCAAACTTAAATGTCACTCGACGGGTAGGATGGTCCCGCTCCTTGTGAGTAGAGAGGATGTCTATGTTGACCTACAATTAAAATATATGAAAAAACCTTACAATCCATAATGAGCCAAAGATAAATTTATCAAGAGAAGTTCCATTTCTTAGAATGAGTCTTCTTTCAAAACAGAACAAGAGTCAACTATCACAAAATTGGTGATTGTCAGAATGACAGTGACCAACTTGGCTCCGGTAACCCATTTAGACTTGAAGGAAGTGAACTACTTGAGGCTTAATAAAAAAACTCTATTTCATTAGA